GGGAAAGAGGGAAGGGTTTACTTCTTACACTGTGTCAAATACTCCTTAAACATTATTAAGAAATTACAACAATTCTATAAGGTAAATATTATTCCTTTTTTAAACAGATGATGAAAAAGCAGGCACTAGGAGGTGAGATGACGTTTAAAGGCATAAAAGAATCAAGAGGGCTTCCCTGGTGGTGCAGTGGTTGAGAGTCCGCCTGCCGGTGCAGGGGACACGGGTTCGTGCCCTGGTCCGGGAAGATCCCACATGCCGCGGAGCGGCTGGGCCCATGAGCCACGGCCGCTTGAGCCTGGGCGTCTGGAGCCTGTGCTCCACAACGGGAGAGGCCACAACAGTGAGAGGCCCGCATACCACAAAAAAAAAAAAAAAAAAAAAAGCAAAGCTAGAAACAGACTATACCTCATGACCTATGTTTGAGCATCCTGTCTTACTTAGAAATTACCCAGATAGCCAAAATTATACTTATCGTTTATACTAGATTTTAAAGTTAACTAAGGATCTTGGGAATTATATTTAAGCTGACCTATTACAGAACCTAATTACTGCTGCTGTCAAAAAGTTTGTCAGAATTATACTTCAGTTTAATTAAACACATTTTTTTCTTACTAGTTATCTATTTTATACATATTAGTGTATATATGTCAATCCCTATCTCCCAATTCATCCCATCACCCCCTGCCCTACTTTCCCCCCTTGGTGTCCCTATGTTTGTTCTCTACATCTGTGTCTCAGTTTCTGCCCTGCAGACTGGTGCATCTGTACCATTTTTCTAGGTTCCACATATATGCGTTAATATACGATATTTGTTTTTCTCTTTCTGACTTACTTCACTCCATATGACTGTCTCTAGATCCATGCACGTCTCTACAAATGACCCAATTTCGTTCCTTTTTATGGCTGAGTAATATTCCATTGTATATATGTACCACATCTTCTTTATCCATTCGTCTGTCGATGGGCATTTAAGTTGCTTCTGTGACCTGGCTATTGTAAATAGTGCTGCAGTGAACATTGGGGTGCATGTGTTTTTTTGAATTACGGTTTTCTCTGGGTATATGCCCAGTAGTGGGATTGCTGGGTCATATGGTAATTCTATTTTTAGTTTTTTAAGGAACCTCCATACTGTTCTCCATAGCGGCTGTATCAATTTACATTCCCACCGACAGTACAAGAGGGTTTCCTTTTCTCCACACCCTCTCCAGCATTTGTTGTTTGTAGATTTTCTTCTGATGATGCCCATTCTAACTGGTGTGACGTGATACCTCATTGTAGTTTTGATTTGCATTTCTCTAATAATTAGTGATGTTGAGCATCTTTTCATGTGCTTCTTGGCCATCTGTATGTCTTCTTTGGAGAAATGTCTGTTTGGGTCTTCTGCCCTTTTTTTTCTTTTACACTTTAAACATCTTACAATTTTATTTGTCACTCATACCTCAGGAAACGGGAAAAAGAAAGTAAATATATTAGCTTGGTAGAGTCTTTGGTAGAATTAAGAATATAACTGGGCAATACCTTGCAATTCTGTAGTACAGTATCACAAGTAGTGTATTGACATTGATTCAACCAAGATATAAAGTAGTTGCATCACCACAAGGATACCTTGTGTTGCCCTATTATAGCAGATATAACTGTTTTAAAAGTTTATTTTTTACTTCTGGTCGGTACTACTGTAAATTCTAAATAATATGTTTGTATTTGCATTTCTTTCAACAATTGCTCTTAAACTAGGAACTTTAATACTCACTTCCAGAGTTTTATTAGTTTTAAATCTACTATTGGTTGTCTTTATAACTCGAAATAATATACTGCTATATTTTATTTGATTTTAGATAATACCTCCTGACTCCCTATAATGTGAAAGGAGGAAATTACCACTCCTTCACCTCACTTTTCTTCTACCCACGTTTTCTGCCTTCTCACTGCTGTCCTCTATACCCTACTTTTACATTGTCAAGGTTTACAATATTGTACATCTTTTTTAATGTTAATTAATTTAATTTTTTTTAACATCTTTATTGGAGTATAATTGCTTCACAGTGGTGTGTTAGTTTCTGCTTTATAACAAAATGAATCAGCTGTACATATATCCCCATATCTCCTCCCTCTTGTGTCTTCCTCCCACCCTCCCTATCCCACCCCTCTAGGTGGTGGTCACAAAGCACCGAGCTGATCTTGTGCTATGCGGCTGCTTCCCAGTAGCTATCTATTTTACATTTGGTAATATTCATAAGTCCATGACACTCTCTCACTTCATCCCAGCTCACCCTTCCCCCTCCCCATGTCCTCAAGTCCATTCTCTCTGCCCTTTTTTTTTTTTTCCTGTGGTACGCGGGCCTCTCACTGTTGCGGCCTCTCCCATTGTGGAGCACAGGCTCCAGGTGCGCAGACTCAGTGGCCACAGCTCACGGGCCCAGCCACTCCGTGGCATGTGGGATCTTCCCGGACTGGGGCATGAACCCGTGTCCCCTGCATCAGCAGGCGGACTCTCAACCACTGCGCCACCAGGGAAGCCCTGCCCATTTTTTGATTGGGTTGTTTTTTTAATATTGTGTTGCATGAGCTGTTTATATATTTTGGAGATTAATCCTTTGTCCGTTGATTCGTTTGCAAATATTTTCTCCCATTCTGAGGGTTGTCTTTTCGTCTTCTTTATGGTTTCCTTTGCTGTGCAAAAGCTTTTAACTTTCATTAGGTCCCATTTGTTTATTTTTGTTTTTATTTCCGTTACTCTAGGAAGTGAATCAAAAAAGATCTTGCTGTGATTTATGTCAAAGAGTGTTCTTCCTGTGTTTTTCTCTAAGAGTTTTATAGTGTCCGGTCTTACATTTAGATCTCTAATACATTTTGAGTTTATTTTTGTGTATGGTGTTAGGGAGTGTTCTAATTTCATTCTTTTACATGTAGCTGTCCAGTTTTCCCTGCACCACTTATTGAAGAGACTGTCTTTTCTCCATTGTGTATCCTTGCCTCCTTTGTCATAGATTAGTTGACTGTAGGTGCGTGGGTTTATCTCTGGGCTTTCTATCCTAGAATGGCCCTTCTTCTTGACACCCTTTGCAGGAGCGGTTCTGCCAGGTCCAGGTTGGAAAGGAAACCCCCCCCCCCCCATTTGCAAAGACTGATCTTTGCTCTATATCACGCTGCTTCAAGATTCAAAGGAAAAAAACTAAACAGTTCTTTTTTAAAAAAAAATAGCTAACCAGTAGATAGGAATTTCATGGTAACCTTTAAAAATATTCTTCTGGGACTTCCTTGGTGGTCCAGTGGTTAAGACTCCATGCTTCCACTGCAGGGGGCATGGGTTCAATCCCTGGTCAGGGAGCTAAGATCACACATGCTGCACGGTGTGGCAAAAAATATATATATATATATAATTCTTTTAACGTGAGACAATTGTTGATGACAGCACTTCTACTTTTAGGTGGAAGAAAGAAAAAAGAGAACAGTAGGCAAGCCACTGAAAGCGAGAGAATACGTGTTTTAAACAGTCAGCGTCTAACTCCTGGAAAACATCGACCTAGAAAAAAACAGGTATGTTTATTATAATTAAATAATACTTAATGGATATTAAAGTCATAACTTGAATAATTGTGATGATTTCACATTATTTATGTTCAACCCTAAAAAATCTTGAGGATAAAATGTTTTCTCTTTGCCATCTTTTATTTTGCCATCTTAGATTTGTTGACCAATTTGCCTATTCAAAGTTCACCCACATTTTAAAGATATTCTTAAGCTGGATGTTAGTGACATTTATTTAGAATTATTGTATTACTGTCATCATAAAATCAGTTCATCAGATGTAGGGTGGAACTTAAATCTACTTGATAAGTTTTTATATTTGTATCTTCCTAACATAGATTCTATTTATTTATTTACTTATTTACTTAATTTATTTTTGGCTGTGTTGGGTCTTCGTTGCTGCGCGTGGGCTTTCTCTAGTTGCAGCAAGCAGGGGCTACTCTTCGTTGAGGTGCACAGGCTTCTTATTGTGGTAGCTTCTCTTGTTGCGGAGCACAGGCTCTAGGCGCATGGGCTTTAGTAGTTGTGGCACGTGGTTTCAGTAGTTGTGGCTCACGGGCTCTAGAGCACAGGCTCAGTAGTTGTGGCACACGGGCTTAGTTGCTCCGCAGCATGTGGGATCTTCCCAGACCAGGGCTCAAACCCATGTCCCCTGCATTGGCAGGCGAATTCTTAACCACTGCACCGCCAGGGAAGCCGCCATAGATTCAATTTAAATAAGATTTTTCTGTGCTTAAAAAAAAAAAAAGAAAGAAAGAAAAAGTATCATTTGGTAAAGAATTTTTCTATTCAGAAAGCTAAAATGGGTCCCTTTTAGGATTCATTTCATTTGTTTGCCCTCTCAGTGATTATAGTCCTGTGCCATCCGTCCAGTTTCTGAACCATTGTTTACTGTATTTTATCTGGTTTTCTAGTTGTTCACAGCAGGTGAGTAAATCTGGTCCTTGTTTGATCATGTTGGCAGTGGAAGATGATCTTATACTTTTCTTCTTACTCTTCTTTATTTAAGATGCTTTTTTTTTTTTTGATAAGCTGTTTGCAAATGGTTCATTGTTGAGGTGCTGGGCTAGGGTCAAGTTCTAGGTTACTAGGGATATCTCCTGTGACTCGTTTATTTTGACCATGACTTCTCCCCAGTGAACATAGCAGTCAACTCCAATTTTTGGTTTGCTTTCTGCAACTATTGCTTGTCTGCATGATTCCTAATTTAGGTCCACCACCTCTACTTTTTGGAGGTAATGCTGGTTGAGAGAGGCTCCTGCTGTTGCAGACCAGGGATTTAAGGTGTACACCTCAGGACATGTTCCTTACTTTGGAAAAGTGTATATGCCACGGGCTTTCTGTGATCTATAGGTAGAGTGGCTGTGCCCCACTTCTTCACTTACCTTTTGTCAGTTTCCACCAATAATGGACTCCATTCACCTATGTTATTGTTCAGGCCAAAGGGTTCTCTTAATTTTACGAGTTTGGGATTTCATTTCTTTCCTTGTTGCTGTTGGGTGAATTCCCAAAGGAGAATGAGGAAATGTTGACCTTATGCCACTATATGCAGCCAAAAGTCATATATATTTTTTGTCTTTGATTTTTTTTCCCCACTTTGAATATGATGTGCCAAGATGTAGATTTTTTGGTATTTATCCTTCTTTGTGTTCTCTGAGCTTCCTGCACCTGTTTTGTTTTTTTAATAAATTTATTTATTTATTTTTGGCTGCATTGGGTCTTTGTTGCTGCATGCGGGCTTTCTCTAGTTGTGGCAAGCGGGGGCTACTCTTCATTGCAGTGCGCGGCCTTCTCATTGCAGGTACTTCTCTTGTTACGGAGCCGAGCTCTAGGCACGCAGGCTTCAGTAGTTGTGGCTCGCGGGCTCTAGAGCACAAGCTCAGTAGCTGTGGCACACGGACTTAGTTGCTCCGCAGCATGTGGGATCTTTCCGGGCCAGGGCTCGAACCCGTGTCCCCTGCATTGGCAGGTGGATTCTTAACCACTGTGCCACCAGGGAAGTCCGAGGGCAGGCTTTGTTAATGAGAACAGAATGCTCTGGATGTATTTTGAAATGGGTATTTTCCTCTTCCGCCTGCTAGAAGCAGGAGGAGATTATTCTGTCATCTTCACCCTGAGAACCTGGTGGGGCTTTTGGAGAGAAAACTCACAAGTTTGTGGGCCCCCTAAGATTGGGCTCCTGGAGTTTTTAACTCAAGCTTGTTAACAATGAGCCTCCCTCAATTTGTCCATCACAGTTCCTCCCAGTATTGGCCCCAGCTGTGAGCTGCTTCTCCTGGCCTTCTGCTTCCAGTAATCTATGATTCTCTGTACCCGCCTTTCTGTTTGCCCTGTGACATTAATTTTCTGATGGATCTAGGAAGAGTTGTTGACTTTTCAGTTTCACCTTTTTTCTTGTTGTGATGACTGGGGTGATATTTCCAAGCTCTCTAGGTTGGTCTAAAATCCAGAAGTCTCTGCCTCATACATTTAATCTTTCCCTGTTGTTCTTCCGGCAACAATTCTAAATGGGATTATAGGTGTTATTTATAGGTATATATCAAGAAAAGTTTCTGTCTTTTTTGTATTTGAAACAAAATATGGAATATCAACTACATAACATAGAATACAGGTGATATCGTCTATCACTGTTTACTATGTCAAAAAACAATTCTGTGTCTGGTTTTATTTTTAGCTTTCCACTGTTGGCTTTTTGGTGGGATAATTTGTTTCAGATGAGTAAATGATTTTATCTTACTTTGTGTTGAGATTTTGGTTCTTTAAAATTTTTTACTGCGGTAGTCTTGCACAGTTTCTTCTTGGACAGTTTCTTCTCGCTGCATTTGTATGTTAAACAGACAAAGATATTTTTGCCTGCCTTATCACAGTTTGAAAAGAGACCTTCCTTTTATAAATTTATTCAAGAAGAAAAGTAAGAACCTTTCTACAATAAAGACTTTTTTCCCATAGATGGTATGTAATGGGAATTACGATACAATATTTTGTTTGTTTGTTTGTTTTGTTTTGTTTTGTTTTGTGGTACGCGGGCCTCTCACTGTTGTGGCCTCTCCCGTTGCGGAGCACAGGCTCCGGACGCGCAGGCGCGGCGGCCATGGCTCACGGACCCAGCCGCTCCGTGGCATGTGGGATCTTCCCAGACCGGGGCACGAACCCGTGTCCCCTGCATCGGCAGGCGGACTCTCAACCACTGCGCCACCAGGGAAGCCCACAATACAATATTTTTTTAATTATAAATATCATTTTTTAATATACATCATGTTTTATTTTAAAACATGTCTACACTACATTGAGCACCTACACAGGTGTGACCAAGAAACCCACAATCCTGTCCCAGCAGAGGCAATGGGTCCAGTGTGTGACTTGAGGTTGCCTGTTATTTTTCACAGTAAGAGAAAAAAGAGAGGATAAGAAAGATGAAAAAGCATTGTTCCCAACTCCTGTTCAGGAATCTGAGTGATGAAATGGAAGGATATTTCAGTTTATAAAGCTCTTCCAAAGCCCATTCTCACAATCAGTTGATGTTTAAACATGGAACCTGGGTTGGTGGGCCAGCTAGAGTTGAGCAACACAAGGGCACACTGTTTAAAATAACTTCCACACATTACTGCAAACAATGGGGGGGACGGGCTGTGCCTTCAGACTGATAGTTTACTTTTTCCTGTTGTATGAACCTGTGAAGTTTAGAGGATATAAGAACTGCACAACCACAATCGTGACACAGCGTCTGCTCAGTATAAAAACTTTTTGCTTAGGGGAAAGAATCCAGTTGGCCTGTGGGAAGAAATGTCCTGAGTTGGATGGTGCCAATATATAATATTCAGTTATGACCCCACAGAAATATGTGGTTTACAGTGAAGACTGGGAATCGGGTCTCTAAATCCAGCTGCTTTTTTAAAATTAGTATTCTATGTGATTATGTTTGCCTCCTGTATCTTTCCTCTGAGGCAGAAAGTAAATGTTAGAAAACTGGTGGGTTCTAGTCTCAGAGACACATACATTCTGTCTGTTTGGGCACCAGTATGGTTCTTGGTTTCTGGAACACTTCAGTCTCTGGCACCATTGGGCCTGCAGCAGCCTCCTCAGCATCACAGGCTGAGATCTCCATATTCCTGAACAAAGTAGCCAATCTGAAGGTCTTGCATCATGGGAAAGCGATGAGCCCTTAGCTCTGGCTCCCCGTCATCTGAGAAAAGTGAAGGGGGCAAGTAGGGGCACACCTTTGAGTCTCCAAGTCATCGATGGAGAAAGCCCTAGAGCAAGCCTAGAGCTTACCCGGTGGCCTTGTGAGAAACAATTCCTTCTCCAAAGTATAGACTTACTGGGACTTCCCTGGCATGCAGTGGTTAAGACTCTGCCTTCCAATGCAGGGGGCGCAGGTTCGATCCCTGGTTGGGAACTAAGGTCCCACATGCTGTGGGGTGCAGACAAAAATTAAAAAAAAAAAAAGTATAGACTTTGCTGTTTATGATCTAAAATAAAGGTCTTTTTTTTTTTTTAAATAGAGGTCTTTGAAATGATTTATCTGGACCAGTGAAAGGTAGTTGCTCACTACATATTATCCAAGTTTAGATTTTCTACTTGATTATTCACACCAAATCAGGCTTTAAAAATAGACCAAACTAGGCTGGAATGTGTACATTTCAACAGATCAGAAACTGTAAAATGCTTCTGCCATTTACTGACATAGCACTAGACCCAAGGATTCAACTGGTGTAAGTAAATACCATTTTTAAAGCATTATTGAAGCATTGTTTTTTCCTCTAAAAGGCACTAGAAATGATACGCAATTTTTGAAGTATAAGTAATGTAAACTTTTTAACATGGAAGGAAAAGATTGGTGCATTTTAATTTGTTGTATGCTGTTTGTATCTTGAGTTGTGGGCATGGCTAGGGTTGTTATGATTCTCTTAATTGACTTTATTTTTTATTTTTCAAGTAAAGCAAAAGACAAAAGAGAATAGTACTAAGGGCACAGTTTTTGCTTGTGTCCTGAAATACATTATCTTTTTTTTGCCATACCGCAAAAAAATGTCTTTGTCTAGAGGTTGATTAGCCGTGCCCTTGTAGGCAGCACAGTTGCTGATAGGTGGCGGCTCAGACCCACAAGAGGTATAATGATGGACACTGCCAATCTTATGGCCCTGAGCCATACACAAGATAGTTTTCATCTCACGTTTGTCTGCAAGCATCTGGAGGTTCTCTTTGATAGTGTATCAGACAGCTGAGCTGGATTCTTTTTTCTTTAATTGTAATAAAATACACAAAACAAAATTTGCCATCCTAGCCATTTTAAAATGTATCGTTCAGCATCATTAAACACATCTTGCGCTACCATTACCACCATCTATCCACGGAGCTCCTTTTTTTTTTTTTTTTTTTTTGCGGTACACGGGCCTCTCACTGTTGTGGCCTCTCCCGCTGCGGAGCACAGGCTCCGGACGCGCAGGCTCAGCGGCCATGGCTTACGGGCAGAGTCCATGGCATGTGGGATCTTCCCGGACCGGGGCACGAACCCGTGTCCCCTGCACCGGCAGGCGGACTCTCAACCACTGCGCCACCAGGGAAGCCCTACAGAGCTCTTTTTATCTTGCAAAACTAAAACTCTATACCCATTAAACAATAACTCCTCATTCGCCCCTCCCCCCAAGCCTCTGGCAACCAACTTTTCTACTTTCTGTCTCTGAACTTGACTGTTTTAGGTACCTCATACAAGTGGAATCCTACAGTATTTGTTCTTTTGTGTTTGACTTGTTTCACTTAGCATAGTGTCCTCAGGATTCATTTACATTGTAGTACGTGTCAGCGTTTTCTTCCTTTTTTAAGGCTGAATAATGTCTCGTATTTATATACCACATTTTGCTTATGCAGTTCTCCATCAGTGGACGCTTAGGTTGCTTCCACCTTTTGGCTATTATGTGTAATACTGCTATCAACAGGGGTGTACAAATTTGTCTTCAAGTCTCTGCTTTCAGTTCTTTTGGATATATACCCACAAGTAGAATTGGGTCACATGGTACTTTTAATTTTTGAGGAACCACCATAGTATTTTCCCTAGCAGTCACACAGTTTTTCATTCCCATTAACAGCACATGAGTTCCAGTTTCTCATCCTTGCCACCACCTATTATTTTCTAGTTTTTTTGATGGTGGACATCCTAATGGGTTTGAGGTGACATTTCCTGGTGGTTTGGATTTGCACTTCCCTAATGATTAGTGATGTTGAGCATTTTTTTCAAGTGCTTATTGGCCATTTGTATATCTGTTTTGGAGAATTGTCCACTCAGGTCCTTTGCTCATTTTAAAAATTTATTTGTAGTAAAACATAGCATAAAACTTATCACCTTAATCATTTTTAAGTGTATGATTCACTGGCGTTAAATGCATTCACGTTGTTGTGCAACAACTTCTGGAACTTTTTCACCTTGCAAAACTGAAACACTATACTCATAAGACATTTCCCCCTTCCTCCCGTTCCCTGGCAGCCACCATTCTACTTTCTGTTTCTGGGAATTTGACTACTCTAGATATCTCATGTAAGTGAAATCTTACAGTATTTGCCTTTTTGTGACTGATGATGAGTGGATTTTTAAAGCAAATGTGAGTCAGCCGGGGAGATTATTCATAGTTCAGAAACAGTAAATAATCACTCAGGTGATCATACTGCTCCTCAGCATGTCAGCAGAGGGGTGATTAGTTGGTCACCTATAGCAAATGCCAGGTGTCAGCAATCTTTTTCTGTGTATAATACTGAATTTGACTTGTAAAATTCTTCAGTCATTTTCTCCAAAAACAAAATAGTTTTTTTAACTAGTTTGTGTTAGTTCTCAAAAATCTGTTTTAGAGAAGATTTGAGTTTTATGTGTGTGTGTACTTGGCCCAACATAGACAGAACAGGGTTTTCACTGAGTTCATTAGGGAAGAATTAAATATTCATAAGTTCTCGGTATTTGTGAATCCTACATATCTCTAATCTATTAACAGTTGTAGAAAAGCATCTCAAGAGACAGTGTGGGCTTAAAGTCAGACGAATTGGGTTTGTGTTTAGCTCCATCGCTTTGTAGCTGTCTGATCTTGGGCAGCTGAGCCATAGTGTGTTCATGTAAAACGAACAGTAATATAGTTCAGGACCCTTGACCATATCACCACAATAAGATCTTACAGAAATCTAAGATGTGTTTACAGAATTTCTTCTACCGTTAAGAAATTGTAACATGATACTGATAAAAAAGTTGTATTTATAGTAGGTATGTTACTTAAGGAATTGTTTCTGTGAATAACTGTTCTATGTTTTATCTACTTTTGACGGATGTTAACTAGACTTATTGTGGTGATCATTTCACAATATATATGAATACTGGACGATTATGTTGTACACCTGAAGCTAATAAAATGTTATTTGTCATTTATACCTCAATTGAAAAAAACATAATTGTTTCTGTGAATAACTATCTTACTTTTCATCAAAAGGCATGGCTTTGGGAAGAAGACAAGAATCTGAGATCTGGCGTGAAGAAATACGGAGAGGGGAATTGGTCTAAAATACTATCACATTATAAATTCAACAACCGAACAAGTGTCATGTTGAAAGACAGATGGAGGACTATGAAGAAGCTGAAGCTGATATCCTCAGACAATGAAGACTGAGTGTGTTTGCGGAGCCCGATAAGACGGCAGTGTTTTAAACATTTTGATTCCTGCATTTTGCATGAAACTTGGTGGTCATTAATGTAGCTTAAAATTTTGTTTAAAGCATTACAGTATTTTTCTGCGGCACAGTCATTTAATATGAGGATTTGTGCTGTAAGAGCAAGATTATATACCATCATTGTATTCTTTAAGAATCTTTTCACTCTGATAAAAAAATAAATTTTTTGAACCCTAGTGCTTTCAAAACTCCTACCTCCAAACCCTGTTCCAATAAAAAGGTGAAAGCCTGGTAAGAGAAAAAATATATTGCTGTTAACCTATTCTGTGTCTGTGGGCTGATTTCAACTCCATGACACACATAAAAGTGAAGTTTCTAAATCAGTGAATAGGCCTTTGACATAAGGGGTAATGATTTGATTTATGGCCTTAACATATTAATTACTAAGATATTTGCTTATAGAATGATAAATGTACAAAGTAATCTGTGAGTTTTACTTAAATTTTTCTTTTGGTACTTTCATATAAAGGAAAAAATTTGAAAATAGTAATACCCATAGGACAGAGTTTATACTACTACTAAGAATAGCTTATGTCTCATTTAGGTACATTGGATTTTTGTTCTAGTGTTAAAACTTTGACAAAGATGGTTTTAAATAAAGCTTCTTTATAACCTGGTGCCATAAATATCCATTTCTCTGATATTTTCATTTAGTTAGATAAATATTGGGCCTAAATGATATTCTGTAAATGCTTAAATGGATTTTAACCATGATCATATTTTTTTGAACTTTTAAATTTTATTTTATTTATTTTTTTATACAGCAGGTTCTCATTAGTTATCCATTTTATACGTATTAGTGTATGCATGTCAGTCCCAGTCTCCCAGTTCATCCCACCACCACCACACCCGCCACTTTAACCATGATCATTTTGACGACTGTGATAAATACTAAATAAACAAGATCATGCATACCTTATTAGACAGTTTTGAGTTTTCACCAACATATTCTTTAGAGGATTTAGTCAAAAACTAGAATTATTTAGCATTTTGAGTTATGTATGCTTTATTTAACAAATGTGTGAAAATGCTTAAGCATTTGCTTAAAAAGTTAAACGATTATTTTGTAATCTGTATTTCTTTATGAAAGTTTTATACATTACTTTCTCATTGTTCCTGAAGTTGTTGCCCTATACGTATAATAAATAGAAATGTGGATAATGTTTCCTGACTCGGTCTGTCCTGTTACACTACTAGTTACTGTCACCGTGTTTATTGCAGACGTTTTGATGGTTAGTGCCAAAGCTGATGGCATGAGCCAAAATAGACCAGTTGGTCAACCTCATTCCAAACATACCCTAAGTCATCAAATCTAAGTTGATATTAACTGTAAGATGCCTAGTTATTTTATGTGCCACTAAAAACATCACCATCAGTTATACTATAATATGGTTTTTTCTTAATTAGAATTTTACTTTAATTAAAAGAGCTGTTATAGGGCTTCCCTGGTGGCGCAGTGCTTGAGAGTCCGCCTGCCGATGCAGGGGACGCGGGTTCGTGCCCCGTTTCGGGAGGATCCCGCGTGCCGCGGAGCGGCTGGGCCCGTGAGCCATGGCCGCTGGGCCTGCGCGTCCGGAGCCTGTGCTCCGCAAATGGGAGAGGCCGCGACAGTGAGAGGCCCGCATAACGCAAGAAAAAAAAAAAAAAAAAAAAAAAAAAAAGAGCTGTTATAGATTTATGTAAGCATAGATTTTTATCATATAACTTGTGGGTGCATAAAAAAGAAAAGCAAAATAAATTGGGTAATAAATTGTATTCCTAGTACTTCCTCATTTTAATCTGAATCTTTTGAATTTTTAAATTGAAATTTGTTGAGATAACTATAGATTCATATATAGTTGTAAGAAATAATAAGAGAGGTCCCTTGTACACTTGTTCCAGCTTACCCCAATGTCAATTTGTAAAGCTATAGTATATCATCATCAGGATATTGGCATTGATATAATTCACCAATTTTATCCAGATTTCCCCAGTCTTGTACCATGTGTGTGCAGTGTGTGTATTTAATTCCAAAAAGCTTATCATTTGTGTAGGGGCGTGTATCTACCACAGGCAAGATAACTTCAACAATGAGGATCCCTTCTGTTGCCACTCAACTCTCCATCATTCCTCCAACCCCTGGCAACCACTAATCTGCCCTTCATTTCTAAGATTTAATTCAAAAGGTTACATAGAGAGTGACAAATGGTAGAGCTGACAAAAACTGTTAGAATCAACTTTTTGAAACAAATCTAATAAAACTTAAAACAACTGGGACACGCTTAATGAAGAAAGAGGCTACTAAATTTTGGTAGGATTTTGGTGTTTTTTGCTTACCCAGCTTAAGGCCACAAGTGACTTGTGTTCTTGGTGTGGCTTGATGCTTCGGCAAGTGCCAATACAGTGCTCAGGATTGTGGGTGGTGTGTTTTGACCTGTCTGGCAGTTCCCTGAGGGTTCAGTTCAGAGACTGCCTTTGTTTTGCCCCTTCTGAACTCTTAAGGGCTTTAAAAACATTACCTACATCTGCCTGGGGTCAGGGACAGCAGACAGACTGAAAAGCCTGGAGAGGAAGGTACATGGCGGATTAAGGCTTCGAAGGACTCTGGAGTAAACCAGGGAATCAAGAAGGCCAGGCGCATGCCCAGGACTAGACGCAGTCTCAGCAAAGACCTGGGGGGACCCTAGGCCTGTACGCTGAGTGATCTTTAGCCTTCATAAGTGCAGGAGGTGGAGGCTAAGGCAGAGTTGTAGGTGGCGTTGAACAGGTGCCCCAACTCGGAGCCAATCTGCCAATGCTGGGAGCGTATCTTTCTGTTTGATTTAAGGAAATTAAATGAAGCACTCCGTATTCTTGGCCATTTTTTCTTTCAACATGTTCATGTACTTAGCTGTACTTGTTCATTTGCATTTCTATAATGTATAATTCTATCACAGCCATTTGTTGTGCTGTTGTTGTGGAAATAAACGAAGACCACTCAAAAGAGAAAAACAAACAGGCTCTTTATTCAGCGCTTGCTATAGCAAGGGAGTCAGCCACCATCACTTGTGTTTGGCAGAGGTGCAGGCAGACGTTCATAGTGGGAAAGCTTTCTAGTGAAAAACTAAGGCTTCAGGTGCTCTCTGATTGAACATTGTTGGCATGAGGAAGCTGAGGCTGGCCAACTAGCAGCAGGCATCTTTTTTTTTTTTTTAATAAATTTATTCATTTAATTTTTGGCTGCTTTGGGTCTTCATTGCTGCTCGCGGGCTTTCTCTAGTTGCGGCGAGCGGGGGCTACTCTTGGTTGCGGTGCGCCGGCTTCTCATTGCGGTGGCTTCTCTTGTTGCGGAGCACGGGCTCCAGGCGTGCTGGCTTCGGTAGTTGTGGCTTGTGGGCTCTAGAGCGCAGGCTTAGTAGCACTGGTACACTGGCTTAGTTGCTCCGTGGCATGTGGGATCTTCCCGGACCAGGGCTCGAACCTGTGTCCCCTGCATTGGCAGGCGGATTCTTAACCACTGCACCACCAGGGAAGCCCAGCAGTGGGCATCTTATGTGATTGTTCGGGGGAACATATTTGGCTTTCTCTGGTTGGTCCTGAGTTGGAAGTAGGGACCAAAAATAGGGATGTTGGCAGTCATCGACCAAGTCCTACCCATTCTGGGTAGATAGCTGCGGGGATTAAGTTTGGCGTTCTAAACTCATTGCTGCAGAGGTTGTGGCTTTGAGTTGTCCTATAAGGTCTACCCATTGTCAGTTTTTATATTCAGTACCTGAGTTGTTTCCAGTGAATGGCTGCAAGGCTTTTCCAATTTACATGAAGTGTAAAGTTAGGAATAATAATATTACACTGCTCCCTAAAGGCGATTCTCAGCTCTTTTCTCGAGTACTGATTTTTATACTTACTAAAAATATGCTTATACTGCTGTTTGTTATTTTTCAGTGTGAGGTATTATATTAGTGATCCCCCACTACATAGGATGACATTTTAGGTCTCTTGCACGTTCCCCCTCCACCCTCCATAAGTACACAACTTGCACCCATACAGATGCTTCTCCCCGGTTCTTCCAGCGTATTTGCATCCGTTTTTGGTTAAACCAATATTCAGTGTTTGTGTTAAGCTCTGTAACTGTTTTTTACACCTGAGCTGTGTGTACTCATCACTTATCTCGAAATTCTCTGACCAATTTGAAGACCTCTGAATACATTGAAATATGTCATTCTATTGACATTTTTTTTTCTGGCCATGCTGTGAAGCTTGAGGAATCTTAGTTCCCCGACCAGGGATTGAACCCTGGGCCGTGACAATGAGAGCGCTGCATCCTTACCACTGGACCGCCAGGGAATTCCCAATTTCATTTTTTTTTTTTTTTTTTTTTTTTGGTTATTTTGTTTTGGTGACAGCCCTCCTACTCCTTGGTGCCTGCTTGCCCTCCAGGCTTGCTGCACAGCTGTCAAGCTTACATCTCCCTTATCTTGGCTCTGGGCATCCCAGTCATCTCTCTCCTGGTTTGAATTCCACGTTTCCTGGATCCTGTGTCTTGGTTTTAACTCTCGTTTATCTAGAGCATCTCATCCTATACCTCCTGAGAAAATATGCATAGAGTGAAAAATGTTTATATCATGCATGTCTGAAAATATCCTTTTTCTAGCCTCACATTTGATTAATAATTTTATTGGATATAGAATTTTCATTTGGAAAACATTTTGTCTCAGGATTTCAAAGGCATTGCTCTGTCATCATCAGTGTCAAGATTTTGCTTTAGGTAGTCTGATACCATTCTGATTACTGAGACTTTTCATGTCACCTACTTTTTTTTTTTTTTCCTCTCTGGAAGCTTGTAGATTCCTCCATGTATTCAGTGATGTAGAATTTCATGGTAACATGCTTCGTTGTGAGTCTTCTCTTTTTCAACTAATGAGCCAGGCACTCAGTGACTTCTGAAATCCCTGTGCTAAGTTCTAAAAAATATTATTGTGTTATTTCTTTGCTTATTTTCTCCCTTCTGGTTTTTTTTGCACTTTCTTTCTGGAACTCCCATTACTCAGATGTTGGATCTCTTTGACTGATCCTCTAATTTCCTGTCTTTTGTCTCCAAATTTCTATATCTTTAATTTTGTTGTTTACTTTCTGGGGAAAATGTCACAAAACTTTACCTTCCAAGTTTTCATACCATATATCTACTATCAAACTTTTTAATTTACAAGAGCTTTTAATTCTCTGAATGTTCTTTTTCAGGACATTGTGTTCTTATTTCATGATTGATATCATTGCATCTCTTCTGACCCTGGCAGTGTTTATTGCCTGAGTTTTGTTATATTGCTTGTTTCTGTTTAATTTTGGTTTCCCTCTTGCTTTGTCAATGGTTTTCCTCAAATGTTTGGTTGAACTGGGCTGTCCATTTATATTTATGAGTGAGTATGAAGAAGCTGGTTGGAAGCTCTGTGAGCTCTGATGGGCGCTCACAGGTCAAGGTAGTGATTGGGCAGGGACTTGGCTATCGCAGCTGCTGGTACCTACAGCCATTTTCTTGGATGATCTATTTCCTCAGAGAGGAATCTAGCAAACTGCTCTGAGCCGGTGAGAGTAGTTTTCTCAGAGCACATGGAGGAGGGACCTGGGGAGGGGGCGGTCACCATTCAGAATAGATACTTAGTCTCCATTCTCAGTTGTTGCTGGTGTCTCCAATCTGGAGTTCCCTGCAGGGAGTTGTTGCCTGGCTGCAGAGCCATCTAAGGCTCTAACTGTTTCTTATACCAACTGTCAACCATTCCATTGACGGAAGCATCTGGATCCTTAAGTTCCTGAGCCTTTCCAGGGTGCTGTAAATGACCTTGCCCGCTGAAATTCCCTCCTGTAGACATTTGGCTTTCTCCTTTCTTCTGCTTTACCAGTCCTGAAATTTTGTGACCATCTCTTTTCAGCCTTTTTCTCTCAATCTCCTTATCATTATATTTTTTGTCTTTTAAAAAAATTCTTTAACTGTAATTTTATCTGAAGGTAAAGGAAATAAATATATGTTCAACCTGCCACGTTTAATTGAAAAAAAAAAATACCCTCTTTAGGACCATCTCACGAGGCTTCTGAACTCTATACCCCTGAAAGGCTGAATCTTGCCTTCACACTTTATTAGTAGCTTGACTTACACAGATATGCTAGTTTCGAAATTATTCTCACCCAGAACTTGGAGGCTTTACTCTATGACAGCGGTCCCCAACATTTTGGGACCAGGGACTGATTTCATGGAAGACAGTTTTTCTACGGACGGGGTTGGGTGTGGTGGGGGATGGTTCAGGCAGTAATGCGAGCGATGGGGAGTGACCGGGAGCGGCAGCTGAGGCCTCACTCGCCTCCTGCTGTGCGGCACTGTTCCTAACAGGCTGGGGACCGATACCCGGGGTTGGGGACCCCTGCTCTATTAGACGTCAGGTATCCACTGATGCTGATGAGAAGACTGCGGTCTCTCATGGGGATTCTTGTTCCTTTGTAGGTAATCTGTTTTTCCCTCTCGGGAAGGTTTTAGTCTATTCTTTATCCTTGCTTTTAAATCTCACAAGTTTGTCTCTAGGGGTGGGGATTTTAAAAATTCATCTTGTTTGTGCTGGGTGGGACCTCCCCACCCCAAGAAGAATGGCTCTTACCTCTGATTCCACCTTCTATTCTACATGTTTTAAAGGGTATGGTTGGGCTTCCCTGGTGGCGTAGTGGTTAAAAATCCGCCTGCCAATGCAGGGGACGCGGGTTCGAGCCCTGGTCTGGGAAGATCCCACCTGCCGCGGAGCAACTAAGCCCGTGCGCCACAACTACTGAGCCAGCGTGCCACAACTACTGAAGCCCACGTGCCTAGAGCCCATGCTCTGCAACAAGAGAAGCCACCGCAATGAGAAGCCTGCGCACTGCAACAAAGAGTAGCCCCCGCTCGCCACAACTAGAGAAAGCCTGCACGCAGCAACGAAGACTCAACGCAACCAAAAATATAAATAAATTTATATTAAAAAAAATATAGAGTATGGTCCCTTCATTCTGGTTTATCCACCAGTAGAATCCCATGCGCTTTCAATCTACAAAAAAAATCTTCAAAATCTCTGGGCTGATTCCCACTCCTGCCTTCTCATCTAGGTTATAGACTTAATTCTCTTCTGTGAATTCTGTAATCTCAATGAGATTTGAGGAAGAAGATAAACGTATATCCGTCTGTCACCTTGACCTAGAAGTTTCACTTCTCTTTCAATATACTCATTACCTGGTTGCTTATTCTTCAGAATGCTCAGGTTGTCTAAATCAACTTACAGGTATTTGTATGAAACTTCACTAGAATATTCTTAGAGGGCAGAACCAGTTTGAACGAAATAACCTAAATTATTACTATGACTTTTTATGCATAATTGCAACATTCTTGCATAAAAACTTTGCAAGAAAGGCGCTAAAAAAAGAATAGTGAGATTATAGTTCACCTTGTTCCTTTTTCTACTCTTTTCCCTTCTCTACTTTTTTTTGTCCCCACTTTTCTAAGTGATCAACATCTCTAATTCCTTTCCCCTTCTTTCCTGAGTGGTTATATTTATTTTTGTTCAAATTACTTTTCTCGTGCACTTTGAAAAGCAGCCTATTAAGTAATGCTAGGGCCCGTAAATCATTGTAGTGTGTCCGTGGAAAGGACCCCAACTCTAAGATACTTGTTAAAAAGGAATATCAAAGCAGTCTTAAATTCTTTGATCTTTATCTCTGAAAATAGAACTTTGGGTTCTTCATTAATCACTTGGACTACATGTTTCAGTTCTGTACTGTTTCCTTTGCTAGAACTAATAAGAAGCTTTTCAAGACCATTATTTAATACTATACCTTCTAGCCCATGAAATTCTTCTCAAGAATAGAAATAAAAACACGCTTTAATATGAAAGTAATTAATGGCCATATACTGAAAGCTAAATATGTAATTTGAAAAATTGATTTTATACAACTCAAATATGCTAACTATTATAACACATGTTGGAACCATAAATACATCATAGCTTTATTGCTGTTAATCATCATAACTATGCCTCTCATTCTGAAGTGTTTTGTTTTGGTTTTGGTGAAATTTTTGTTTATTCTCTGACCAGTCCAGAAGATTTAGGTATTTTCTAGTCAAATAAAGAAAGAGCTTTTAAAAATGTGAACAGAAAGTTTATTTACTGGTATAAAATTTTAAGTAACATTGAAAATTACCCAAGTATGCCTTCAAAAGTTTTGCTTTACAGATCTTACAAATGGTCTTAAAATGTTAATAATGAACTTATAGTTGAAGTTCCCAACCCTGATGAGACTCAAATTTTAATTATTAATCTCTGAAGAATTTAATTTACCACAAAAACAATTCTGACAGTTAAATGAACATATAGTCAGAAATATTGCTACTCTCAGCATTAAATATTGGGGGCTTTTCCATCCCTGTTAAACTTGCTCTTGTCATTATGTCACTACATGATAAGTACCAAGAAATACGTATTTTAGTAAATCATTTGTTAGTAAATAATATTTTATACAAATGAAACCAAAGGAATTTCATATACAGGCATACCTTGTTTTATTGTGCTTCTCAGATATTGCATTTTTTTTTAGCAAATTGAAGGTTCGTGGCAACCCTGCATTGAGTAAGTCTACAGTGCCATTTTTCCAATGGCATTTGCTCACTTTGTATGTCTGTGTCACGTTTTGGTAACTCTCACAATATTTCAAACTTTTTCATTATTATTCTGTCTGTTAAGGTGATCTGTGATCTTTGATGTTACTACTCGCTAAAGGCTCAGATGATGGTTAGCTTATTTTTGGCAGTAAAGTACTTTTCAATTAAGGTATATACATTGTTTTTTAAGAAATAAGGCTATTGCACACTTAACAGACTTCAGTATAGTGTAAACATAACTTTCATATGCACTGGGAAACCAAAACTTTCTTGTTACTTGTTTTATTTTGGTGGTCTGGAACCGAACCCAAATACCTCTGAAGTTTGCCTGTAGTTTAAATCCCGAGATTCAATTCTCTGAAGAAAATATCCTGAATTTAAAATTTGTTTCAGAAGTGAAAAGGGCTTCGCTTTTACAGCACAGTCTTTGGCAACGACAGGCTTTCCATCGAAGCTGAGTTGTGGCTGAGAAGCTGAGATTTGGCTCTGACTGCAGCCCAGATCCTGCAACAAGGCACTTTGTCTCTGGTCCATTGATTTTCCAATCATAAAATAAGGAGACTGATGCTTCTCTGTGTGTGTATGGCGCGGAGGGGCATGGGGGGGGGGATCATGGCATTCGTAATAAATCTATGCTTTCCATAATCTATACCTCTGCCTTCCACTCCAAACAAAAGAAAATACGTGCTGTAGGGGGGGAAAAAATAGTAAGTTTACTTCAATTAAACTTGAAGTTAGAGTCCAAAATTATTTGAGTCAACTTCAGGCTTTAAGCCTTGGAAATAATTTTGGATATTAATGATGGTAGAATGTCCGTAATTAAAGCAATTGTTTCATTCATGGGTGCCAAAATTTCACTTCATGGAAATTATAACATTTAAAGGAACTTGTGCTGACCTAGAACGAACATTTGATTGATGCTTTTCTTTTCTTTTCGCAGGCGTCTCACCGCTGTGGCCTCTCCCGTTGCGGAGCAGAGGCTGCGGACGCGCAGGCTCAGCGGCCATGGCCCACGGGCCCAGCCGCTCCGCGGCATGTGGGATCTTCCCGGACCGGGGCACGAACCCGTGTCCCCTGCGTTGGCAGGCGGACTCCCAACCACTGCGCCACCAGGGAAGCCCGATGCTTTTCAATTAACCGAAGAAAATTTCTTCGGGAATTCCCTGGCGGTCCAGTGGTTAGGACTCTGTGCTTCCACTGCAGGGGACACGGGTTGTATCCCTGGTCGGGGAACCAAGATCCCGCACGCCGAGCAGCGCG